AGATATAAGAAGGAAAAACATTTGGAATGGAGTGGAAGGACTAAGAAAAGACTGAGGGCAGGAAAGAAATTCTTGGAATCCAGATGGGAGTTAGCAAAAATCTGCATCAGAATGCTGTTAACGCAGAGCCTTGAAATACAGGTAACCAGCAGTTCACACATCTCTGTGACTCCCTAGATGTGGAAAGTACCCAAGAAGAAACTCAAATATAATGCTCACTTTTGAACTATATGATGATAATCAGTGGTATTGACTTGTCTTCTGTGCAAGACAAATCCTAAACGTGCTTGTGGAAATGGTGAGACCCTGGTGAGCCTTCCTTCGGTGGAGTTTGTCAAAGGCAGTAGATGAGGCTGAAATTAATTGAAGCCCCTAAGAGAGTTGAGGTAACTGTGGTAATTGGTGGAGATACCATAAATTAAAGAAAGAGATCTTTGTGTAAGAGTGGTTGGCAAAAAGGATAGGATAAAGTCATGATCCCCAGCTGTGCGTAAAGTCACCCTGATGTTGAACTCACAGGGGCATGATGGGATATTTTACATTTTTTTAAGGAAACAGCAACATCCTTTGGACACTGTGCAAAGTACTACTATTAAGTTTGGATCTAATTGTTTCATGAATGAATAGAGCCCTCCTTTTATTTCTTTTAGCCTAAGGTACGCTGAAAAAATTACTGAGATCCCAAGGACACTGTGAAGTAAGAAACATTGTGAATCTCTGGAATAATGAAAGTTAAATCCTGAGAAATGGCCAATAAGTCCAATAACAAAACAATTTCTGTAAGCTTAAAGCAAAATCAGGTGAATTCCAGTGGTTCAAGTATAAGTGTCATGGGGAAGCTGAAGCATATGCAGCTCGGGCATCAAAACTTTAGCAGGAGCCACTGGTCTTCGACTGTAGGGATAGAAATGAAAGGAAGGTCCAACATGGAAGAAAAGTTGAGGGTTCTGGGAGGGCAAGGGAAACAGAAATGGGTTTTCACGCAAAGGGAATGCATGCAGGGCAGAAGAAAGCTTAAGAGGCGAAAATGAAATGGTAGATCAGGTCCTGCCACAGGTTGGAGAAGACAGGATGGAAAACAAGGGTGAGAACCTTCCTCTTGAAAGGAAGGGTAAGGAAACCAAGTTAGGGACCTACAAAGTGGTCTAGTCGGATTTGCATGTGTGTTTTTCCTTTTAATTTTCACAACTACCTCAGGAAGGAAGTGTTAGCCTCATGTCAGACAGGAGGGAGCTGAGTTTGGGGTAATAAAGAGAATGTAGATAAAGTGCCAAAGATTTTTTGAGACAGAAAAGAGGGAATTTGAGGGAATGTCTTAGTCTCTTACCATAGATTAAGTGGCAGAAACAACAAACACTTATTTCTCACAGTTCTGAAGGCTGAATTCCAAGATTAAAGGTGGCTACAGATCCGATGTCTGGTGAAAGCCCACTTCTTGGTTCCTAGATGACCATCTTCTCATTGTGTCCTCACCTGGCTGAGGTGGCAATAGAGCTCTGCAGGTTCTCTTTTATAAGGGCACTAATCCTGTCACGAGAGTTCAAACTTCCTGACCTAATCACCTGCCAAAGCCCCACCACCGAATACCATCACATAGGGGTTAGGATTTCAATAGATGAATTCTGGCAGGGGACAACACAAACATTCAGTCCAGAACAGAGGGTGTCTTCTAAATTGTCTCCATCTTTCTCAATAGTCTAGACAGTGCCTCTCAAACTGCAACATGAACACAAATCTCCTGAGAATCTTATTTAAAACGCATATTTGGATTTAGCTGGTCTGGGGTAGAGCCTGAGGATTTGCATTTCTGTTGCGTTCCCAGGCAATGCCAATGTTGCTGGTCTGACATGGTTATACTGCACTTTGAGTAACAAGATCTAGAAAGCCAACTCATTAGCTAGGAGTCTGTAGAATAGTGCCAGGTGTTTAGGGTACTTGATAAATATTTGTTGGATTGCGGCTAAATTGAACAGTTTAAATAAAGGTGTGTGTTCCGGGAGCCAAGGGGGTGGGAACTCTTCCAGAGAATTGTAAAGAGCAAGGACAGATGCTCTGAGGGAGGGACAAGAAGGAAGGCCAGGAGGTGCGGCAGGCAGGGAAATTCTGTGGGACTCTGAGGGAGTGTAGTGCTGCCAGTGGTCTAGGGGTTGACACCAAATCAAAATAAAAGTCAGAATTGGGTGGGGATGAGGCCGGAGGTAGAAGAAAAGCAAGACATGGGAGCAGGTAGGGGCACAATCAATGAGAGAATATTCTGGATCAGGTGAAGGATGCAGATGACGAAGTGGAAACAGAAGTATGAAGGCCGTTGAAATCAGAAGTGCTGCTGGGAGATCTAACAGTGGTCTGTAGAATGAGGACAGGCCCTCAGAGACCCCCCCAGATCAGGCAAAGTATCCAAATCACCAGAGATTTTTGAAAATACTGAATTCCAGGCCCTCCCCCTAGACATTTGGAGTCCATAGACCTAGGTACGGGCCCCGGAATCTGCATTTTTAGGAAGCTGCCCAGCAGTGGTTCTGATATTGCAGTCAAGGTTGGGGAGAACCCTCTTTTTATTTTTTTTTTTAATTATTTCTTTTCAGCGTAACAGTATTCATTGTTTTTGCACCACACCCAATGCTCCATGCAGTCCGTGCCCTCCTTGATACCCACCACCTGGTTCCCCCAACCTCCCACCCCCCGCCCCTTCAAAACCCTCAGATTGTTTTTCAGAGTCCATAGTCTCTCATGGTTCACCGGGGAGAACCCTCTTAAGAGTGAATGAGAGAGAAGAAAGATCTTATGGGGAAGGAAAGGGGCCGAGTGCACACCCTCAGCTAGAACAGAGATTGCAGGACTCCTCAAGGAAATTTCCAGAGTCTTTGCATGCCGACATTTTACATCTAGACAGCTTGATAAATGGCACTCCAAAGCCGTAATATTTCATGATTTCTTTAATTGTGATGGTCATGATCAGGCAATCTCTTTTGAAAGATCAAATAGATTTTCTGTTGGCCCAAGTCCCAGTTCATATTTGTCCGATTTAATCCACTTCACAGACAAATGCATCAAATTTCACGTTAATGTTAAGTCAATGTGCTTACTTTGTTGTAGTTCTCTAAGAGAATTTCTCCCTTAAGTTTTTATCCTCTTACATAAGAAGGTTTTTTTTTTTAAATAATAATTTCTAAAATCATAATGAAAACAGCATGGGGTAATGGTGAAGGCTACCAGCCATGGAGCCTGATTTCTTGGGTTTGCACCTAGCTCTGCCACTTAACCCCTCTGAGGCTGGGGGCCCAGGACCTGAGCCACACGTGTCAGTGACTTCCTATGTAAAACGAAGCTAGAAGCACAACCTCACAGGGCTTAAAACTCTTCAGACAGTGCTGGCCCTCTGTAAATCAGCTATGGAAGTTTGCTGGGAGCATTTAGGCCATTCCCGTTGAGAGTTACTACTGAAAGATATGTATTTATGCCATCCCATTGTCTGAACCGTCCCTGTTTCTGTGAAGTGTCTCTGTAAATTCCTGGTCTATATTACTCTTGGGGTCTCAGATTGGAGGGCGGTTGGGGGGGGTGTAACACGGTGATGGGTATTAAGGAGGGCGTGTGCTGTGATGAGCACTGGTGTTATACGTAATGAATTGTTGAACACTGCATCAAAAACTAATAGTATATTTACTATACAGTGACTAACTGAACATAATTAAAAGAAAGGAAGGAAGGAAGGAAGGAAGTTAGTTAGTTTGCTGGGACTCTGATTAGATTGCCTTGTCCCTGTTGCAGCAACAGGTCACTTACCCTGCGGTATCTGAGAATCTCCATCACTGGCTGACAGCAGTGGGGGGCTTTCAGAGGAAGCCCACACCATCTGCTTGGGGCTCCAGTCAGAAGGGTAGAGTCCAGTTGCCACCACTGCCTGAGTAATGGCAGAAAATTCCATAGGTTCTTCATGTGGAACAGAGAAAGAGATGGGATTGGAAAGCAAAATGACCCTCATGTAACTGATAAGCATTTAACTGAGCACCTACTGAACACTAGGAATGGTGCAGAGGGCCAAGGATATGCAAACACAGACAATGGTCGCTGCCCTCTGGAAGTTTGGTTTGATAAGAAAATTGATGCAAAACAATAAAAGAATTGCTTTCATGAAATGCATGAAAATTCAGGGGTACCATTCTATAGAGAGAATTTCTGAAGGTCTTTAGAAGTTACCTACACAAGGATGCAAACACCGGTTTCTTTTTCTTATTTTTTTTTTTTTAAGATTTTTTTTTTTTTTTTTTTTTGACTGAGAGAGAGAGGTCACAAGTAGGCAGAGAGGCAGGCAGAAAGGGTGGCGGAGGAAGCAGGCTCCCTGCTGAGCAGAGAGCCCGATGCGGGGCTCGATCCCAGGACCCTGAGATCATGACCTGAGCCAAAGGCAGAGGCTTAACCCACTGAGCCACTCAGGCACCCCCAAACACCGATTTCCATCTAAGATGGGCAACTCATGGTCCTTGAGGCAAACAATGAATCTGGTGGAAACCCAGAATTCCAATTCACAGTTGATTATAACTTTTATTCATATCATCCTCCTGTGATTTTGAGCTTCACTGTATCTCCAAGAGACAAAAGCAGGGATCATCCCATTTATAACTGAGAACATGAAGGTTCAGAAAATGTAGCAGTCTTGACCAAAATCATATTTTTGATGTCCTGGAGTAGGGACTGGAGCCAGAACCTCCATGTTACTTGTCATGGCACTGAGCTAAGTTGCAGAAACGAGGACAATAATCTAAGGAATCCTCTTTAATTACAAAGGAGATAAGAGGAAGACATTCATATTAAAACCTAGATAATGCGATGGTTTTAAATTATGTCCTCTTGGCATGGTAGATGCCTGGTAACTGTTAACTATTGTTAAACGTCCATCATTGCTTTCTAAACGCCAGACACTGCTGTCTGGAGGATCCAGGGGAGAGGGTGCTTTGTTTGTGATCATGTAAAACAGCAAACACATTTTCTTTCCCCAGCTTATTCAAAAATTGACGGATGTTGCTGAAGAATGTCAGAATAATCAGCTGAAGAAGCTCAAAGAAATCTGTGAGAAGTAAGCCTGCATTCTCATTCCAGGAGCCCTGTGTCTACAGATGTGTTGCACAAAATCTGCTGTTTATTTACCTTTTTCCCCCCTCTTACTTCTGTTTTGACTTCAGAGAGAAGAAGGAGTTAAAGAAGAAGATGGACAAAAAAAGGCAGGAGAAGATAACAGAAGCTAAATCCAAAGACAAAAGTCAAATGGAAGAGTAAGGAGAAAGAACCCCTTCTCCCCTACCCGTCTCCTGGGGATTATTTTATTCCGTTCAGGATAATCTTTTTTTTTAAGATTTTATTTATTTGACAGAGATCACAAGTTGGCAGAGAGAGAGAGGGAAGCAGGCTCCCCACTAAGCAGAGAGCCCAAAGTGGGGCTCAATCCCAGGACCCCAAGATCATGACCTGAGCCAAAGGCAGAGGCTTAACCCACTGAGCCACCCAGGCACCCCCAGGATAACAACTTCTTAACCACCTAAAGACCCATCTGTGAAATTTCTCCTCTAATTAGCCTTTCCAAAGATCCCTTTTGTAAAGTTTTTAACATGGAAATCATAGAGCAGTTCAGCAAAGAACTAAGGCGCACCCAGGGATCTTTCAGATAAAGGTGGAGTAAAGAGTTGTCCTTAGGGAAAAAAAAACCCAATCCTCAGTTCCCATGCTGTCCGGCCACGTTCCCAGCATTTAGCAAAAACAGAGCTTGCTTGCCAGTGGGCCGAACCTGCTTTCTGTCCAGAGCTAGCAAGCTGTACCTTTCTTGCAGCAGCAATGAGAATGTAGAAAGTTCTGGAAACTTTCATCTGAAAGTCCCAGGTGCACCTATATGTTGATGCTGAATGACGTCATATAATGATCTAGTTGTCATTTGCTCTTAGGGAAAAGACAGAGATGATCCGGTCATACATCCAAGAGGTGGTGCAGTACATCAAGAGGGTACGTCAGTTAATCTCTCTCTGTTTTGCGAACCACATATGAATGTTCGGCAAACACAGTGTGAGCCTCTGAAGGGAAATGCCGAGCCTGGTATCCGTTTATCACTAGCACCTGGGAGAGCAGCTTTACAGAGCAGCTGTTCTGTAATCAGTGTTTCTGCAAGTTTAATTGCAAACCTATAGATTAAAAAGGGTCATCGAAAAATAAATGTCAAGAATCCTTTCCAAAGACAGGAGCCTAGAAGTATAAGGTCAATAGGAGAGCCCCCAAAAGAACGTGTAGTTGTCATCACTGCGAGGAAAGATGGCCACCTCCAAAGGCACTTCTCTGTTTTTTAAGTTGATATTACAGAAATTTTCAAACATTAACAAAAATGTTAATTTTTATTAAATCAACATAATTTATAGATCACCCCCACCTGGACGCTGTGTCCCCATCACCCAGGACCAACGTTTACCAACAGTCTCCTACACTTGTAAGGACAGTTCTTGCTCAGGATATGAAATAATTCAATGTATGCCATAGATCTGAAAAGCTTTCAGTTTTTTTCTGAAAACATTCCCTTGCACATTTAGATGAAAATGACTTTCTTTGTAACTTTCTTGTAGTTAGAAGAGGCCCAAAGTAAACGGCAAGAAAAACTTGTAGAGAAACACAAGGAGATACGTCAACAGATCCTGGACGAAAAGCCCAAGGTAAACTGAACCAAGTAATAACACGCAATAACTTCATTTTCTTTCCATTCAATTAAAATAAGATCTCTGTAGGTCATGTACCTTGCACACGGTCTCTCAGAGCTGTTCCTACAGGGTAAACTGTATCTTCCTCAACCATGGTGAAAATCTTTCCAGCGATATTCAGTACACATTTATCATCTACTGGTGAGCTTTACACATTGCAAAGGCTCAAACCCAGATCCTGACATCTTGGTCGCAGTTGATCTGAAGTGTGGTTCAGATATCTTTAAAGTGCTTTCCCTCTCTCCCTGCCAGAATAGAGAGAATTAGTGGAATTGACCAGGCTTCTTCGGTTCTGATAAAATATTGTAATGGCGGACTTTGTCCAGCAGAGGACGTTCTGTACCAAAATCACCCCGGTTTTTAGCCAACAAAATGCTCTCATAAACCAGAAAAAAAAAAAAGAACAAATCTTCCCCCCATCCCTATATAATAGTATATTGTGGCTCCTCTATCCTTATTGTTCGGTCAAAATCAACTGTTTTTCATTAATATTAAATTTACACAAACTGATCATCTATAAATCAAATACTTTTAGGTTGGCAAACAGCATCTTGATTTTAGATCATTACATACATTTTGATGCATCATTGAATATTTGTCTGTGAAAAAATGTGCTTTCCAGTTTTATTATTTTTCTATGCACGGTTAAAAATATCTACTCTAAAAGGTATTGCTGTTCCATACAAGTACTCTATGAACCTGCAAAGTTTAAATGTTGTTTTCATTTCATTGTATAGTCCATTCATCAATTTACTGCTTATAGAATTTTTTGTGGCTGATTCTAAATATATCTTTACAGTTATTTCTGCTCTTCTCCTTTTGTATTTATTTTGATTTATTTAATATTTTTAACTCCTGAAGTTTTTAGGCCTGGAAATATAGATGAAGCAGTAATGAAAATCTGAGAATTGATAATTACTTAAACATGCTGCTAATTTTTATGTCTTTCATGTAAACATGCAATTTGAATATTCTTAGCCATCATTTTGAGATGATTATGCATTAGTAATAAGTTTTAGGATAATTTCAGAAATTGCTATATTTTCCATTTAGGATTGATCTTTCAAAATGTTTGGAGCAAAAGATTCAGGTCTAGCTGGAATTTAAGAAACACATTAACACCTTAATAATCAGTCCCAGGTGATATATTCACATATACACATTTTTAATCCATGCTGTCTAAAGTCACATGCCATTACTTTGTACACTGACATAATATACCCTGGTTATGACAGCTATCTCATTAACCAGTTTTTGTATTTGAAAGAAATATATATCTTCTGAGATATTGTTGTTCCCACAGAGTTTTATTTTTGCTTTGTTTTTGTTTGTGGTCTAAAATCGTCAGCTACTTGTCTCACAGATACAATGCAATCACAGATGTGTTTTGATTATATAACTCACTATAAAAAACCCTACAAATAGATTGTGTTACTGCACTAGGTTATCATGATTAAATCAACTTTGGTAGGTGTTAAAGCACCTGTAAACTTCTGCACTTAGTATGACTACACATTAGAAGAATAAGTGTTGGGTAGCTTATCAGTCAAGGTGCATTCTGTAGCAGTTTTACAGAAAACCCAATTAAAACTGGCTTATACAATAATAAACTTAGTAAGTCATATTATTGAAAGTTCAGACATGTCACGGTTTGAGGATTGGTTAATCTAACAGCTCACCAACCTCATCAAGAGTCCAGGTATTTTCAGAATCTCTACCATGCCATCTCACTTTGTTGCCTTTCATGCCTGAGCTGTAAACCTATAGTCACAAGATGGCTGCCATAGCTCCATGCATCACAACATTACATAAAACCATTCAAAGGCAATGTCTTCATTTTACAGAATTAAGGAAAACTTTCCTAAATCTTCCTGATACCCTTCTCCCCATTGGCTAAGATTGTGCCATATACCCATTCCTAAACCAATCACAGGCAGGTGATTGGTTTAGGAATGGGTATATGGCACCAATGGGTATATAGGAACCAATCACAGGCATAGTCAACAGGCACCTGAACAAAACTGATGTTTTGTTATCAAAGAAATAGAAATAGCAATTAGGTAGATCATTAACAGTGTGTGCCACTACCATATTTATACCAATTTCCCATTTCTTCTTTTTTTGGTCCTTAGCAAGAGGTCTGAAGTGTTTCTGTGAATTTATAGTAGTTGTTTTGCCTTCATTTGTGTTTTGTTTTATTTGTAAAATTCTGGGCCTGTCTGTACATGATCAGTTTAGTCTGCCCAAATATAGCTAATAATCAGAATCAGTGGTGCTATGGACTGAATTGTGTCCTCCCAGAATTCTCATGTTGAAGCTCTAACCCCCAAAGTCATGGTATATGGAGAAGAGGCCTTTTTGAGGTATTAAGTTTATTGATTCTATTTTTATTTTTTCATTTTTATTGATGTATAGTTAATATACAGTGTTTATATTAGTTTCAGGTGTACAATATAATGATTCAACAACTTATACATTACTTAATGTTCATCATGATAAATGTACTCTTAATCCCCTTCACCTATTTCTTCCATCCCTCCACCCACCTCCCCTCTGACTACCACCAGTTTGTAATCTATATTTAAAGTCTGGATTTTTTTTGTCTCTTCTTCTTCTTTTTTTTTTTTTTAATTTGTTTTGTTTCTTAAATTCTACATATGAGTGAAATTATATGGTATTCGTCTTTCTCTGTCTGCCTTATTTCACTCAGCATAATACCCTCTAGCTCCATCCATGGTATTGCAAATGGCAAGAGCTCATTCTTTTTTATGGCTGAGTAATATTCCATTGTATAAATATACTTAATTTTTTTTAACCCATTCATCTATGGATGGACACTCAGGTTTCTTCCATATCTTAGCTATTGTAAATAATGCTACAGTAAACATAGGGGTGCATGTACTTTTTCAAATTAGTGCTTTTGTTTTCTTTGGGTAAATACCCAGTAGTGGATACACTGGAGACACCATACTGTTTTCCCCAGGGGCTGTACCAATCTGCATTCCTACCAACCGTGCTTGGGGGTTCCTTTTTTCCACAGCCTCATCAACATTGATTTCTGTTTCCTTCATTTTTTACTAAATAAGAACAACAGTGATATCTCTCTGCTTTTCATCCATGTTGCCCTTACTACCATTTTGTGTCTGGATTTGAAGGTTGCCCTTGGAGATTTTTGGTTTCATGTCAAATGAAAGCATTTATTAAGAGGTGCTCTTCAAGGCTTAAGAAATGTTGTGCTTTAGGGGCGCCTGGGTGGCTCAGTGGGTTGGTTAAAGCCTCTGCCTTCGGCTCAGGTCATGATCCCAGGGTCCTGGGATCGAGCCTCGCATCGGGCTCTCTGCTCAGCAGGGAGCCTGCTTCTCCCTCTCTCTCTGCCGGCCTCTCTGCCTGCTTGTGACTTCTGTCTGTCAAATAAATAAAAAAAAAAAAAAAAAAAGAAATGTTGTGCTTTAGAACCATGACTTTAACAGTAACATAAGAAATCATGACAGTTAATATTGTAGGACACCGTGGCTAATCAAAGGAAATGTCTGTGATAAGAACGAACAATAATAAACAGTGAAATGAATAAGATAAAATGTAGGTTATGTGGAGAAAGCACAAAGCACAGGGAAGCAAATATAGGCAAGTGAAAGTCCAGACCAGCATAGCATTCATCCACACTCCTGTAATTGTTGGATGTGGACCAGAAATAGGATAGCACTGGCTTTGAAATAATCCCTCTTCACATCCAGTATCAGAATGGCCTTTTAAGGCTAGACATAGATATGAGGGAAATTAACAAAAGCAGAAACAATAAAGAAAGAACAGTAACTCAAGGGAATGAGACCAACCAGCAGTATTTATAAAAGGTTAACTGAGTCCGTTGCATTCAATCAGAAAGATGAGAAAGTGGAATGGTTTCATGACATCTAGAAATTTATGAGCTGTTCCATCACTGAATGTTGGACAAAGAAATTGAGTTGACTCTATAGTAGGTAATATTAAAGATAATTACAATCTCTCTATGAAGAGGAAAGCATGACAAACTTTGCCAGAGGTTACTGAGGGGAGTAGAGTTCTTTCTTCAAGTATTTTAAGATGCAATGAGGAGTTTTATACCTCGAAAACAGTAATGGCTAATCTTTTGCCTACAGCAAGTAGATACACTACATGGCATCATATGTCTTCCCATTTGTTAATTTCTTTCACCAACACGTCAAATATAATCACTTAGTTTCTCTTTGTCCACTTATTCTAACTAATGTAATAACGTGTTTAATGTTCCTAACCTCCTCCAAAACAGGGAGGAAGCTATTTTTACATGCCTATATTTTCCTAGTATTACTATTTTGAGCTGTCCTGAACCACAATTACAAGCTGCAGAGTTTTCCAAGCCTTTGATAACCGAACAACTCCTTGAAAATTGAACAAGTATTTTTTTAACAAAAGAAATTTGAAAACCCAATTGCTGAAAGACAACAGCCCTTCAATGGCAAGGAGTTCTGGCTGGATGTAGAGCGAACTACATATGAAGATTAATCCAAAGTGTAACCTTCTAACCTTTTACTCCACCACTGGCTTATGATCTGTAAGTATCAACTCAAGTTCCTAAAATTGTTACCATACTCCAATAGAACAGTCGGAAGACAATGGGCATTAGTCAAGACCATTTCATTTCCACACTGGGACCAAGGACTTCCATTCTACTGGCACATATTTGGTAGAGAACCAAATTTGGCCAGACACAGTGTGAAAATTTATTTTAGAATGTCCAACTTTGTGGCATGCACTAGGCCTTTTTCATATATAGACTCTATTTTTTTCCCCCACTAAAAAAGAGATCAATGAGTCTATTCCTTTTGCATGTAATTATTGAGGGCATTGGGGAAAATGGAAGTAGGTGATTTCTGAAAGAGGCAACTCAATTTGATGTAGAATTACACTATGCATTCCTGTACATAAGTCCTCCTGAA